AACAACAACAGCATGGCAGAAATATGGACATTATGGAGTGTTATTTTCCATATGATTATCACCACATCAACACTTGATGTCTGTTCAATTTAAAGTACATTTACTCAAATCCAATTTTCAGATATGTGCACTTCACCTGAGTTTTATTTGATGCTACTTCATACGTCTACTTTTCAATAGGAAATATCGTACTTTTACCTTCCACAAAATCTCCTTTCTGGTCAATACCTTGCACCTATATTACAGACAAAGCAATTCAACAATGTCAACAATAATGTCAGAGATGTGGGTGTGTTGTGCTAGTAGTGGCTAATAAACTAGCTACCAGCCAGAAGCAGAACAGGAGTGTGCTTCAGAGGTTTGGTTAACTCGCTTCTTTTTAATTCCACACCCCCAGATTTTTTTCAAATTTCTACTTTTCTGCCACAACCAACATTGCCTCAAGTAACACTTAAGGCCATTTATCAGCTCCATCTTGAGTAACAAAAGGCCTGTAGTACTCCCAAACACCTGCAAAATCAGTGTAGCGCTCCTTTAAGTAAACACTTATTGAGTGTTCTACATCAGACCCAAACTTACTCTCTATACACAAATAAAACATTTCAGTGAATGAAGCGTAACATTGTTTATGTGAATTTTCCCGTGGCAAATAAGCTGCAATCTGGAAAAAAAGATCATATTACAGATAGTTGGCAACACCGCAAACCACACTATGTACAGTATATCTCTCAGTGGTGCATATTACTGCATGCACAGACGTGTGTGATTACTTGTGTATGTGTGTGTGTCTGTGTGAGAGAGAGAGGGGGGAACTCAAATATAAACACATTCCTCATCCTGGAGTCAATTATGTCCAAGATAAGCATACTGATCATACCAGTTTAGCAGTAAAATGCCCCTTTAATGACAATATAAGAATCCAGTCATTCCATATTACCGAGCAAACCGTGCGGAGCAAAGCATCACCAGGAAAATCTCCCAGCTGCCACCAAGATGTGGAATTGTTTGAGTCTTGTGGAGGATATCCCAGGGAAATGCAGCGTTCTACTACACACAAAGAGAAAGGAAGTGTCTGACACACAGAGGGAGGCTGAGACACGCTGGATTATACTCACGCAGTGATCAAATAAACACTGAGGGGTTCGGAGAAGCCTCACATGTAAAGGGGGTCAAGCGGGCCTCTGGAAAAAGGAGTTGTGGTTTTACTGGGTGAAGCTTTTACTCTGAGGTTTTGTTAAAAATGTATATTTAGTATAACCAGAGGTGGAAGAAGAACTCGGATCGTTCTTTCTAACAAATTGTGAAAAGTAAAAGTCTTGCAAGTAAAAGTACAGAAGTATTGGTATCAAAATATAATTCAGTACCAAAAGTAAAACTACTCGTTGAGCATTATTGCTAGGGATGCTCCGATCGCCAATTTTGGGGCCGATCGCCGGAATCAGTATCGGCCGATACCGATCGCCGATCCGATCAAGTGGGCGGGGCCTAAATGGAAGATTTAAATATCACTTTAAATCTTCCATTTAAAGTGATGTTTAAAACTCAGTTAATGGGGCTCATTCACTGGAGCTTCCACAAACAACAATCAACTTAATTATTACATTCAAATTATGTATATTATTCAAGTTTACATTCACTTTGGATAATACCACGGGAGAAATTAGCGGAAGCGCTCTCTCCCTCTCTCTCTCCCCTTCTCTCTCTCTCTCTCTCTCCCCCTCTCTCCCCCTCTCTCTCCCCCTCTCTCCCTCTCCTGACAGCCCGTCAGTATCGTCTCATGCAGCTCACTGATCCAGTAATGTGTGAGGCCGACAGTGAAGAATAAACATATCTATAACGAGTTTAGCTTGTTCCAGAGGTAGATCAAATAGCTAACTCTTGTGTGTTCTGCTCCGCTCACCGCTCCGTCACAGCGGGTGGAGCTGCAGGATTTCTGCTTCACACACACGTTGCATACCGCTATTTTACTGTCTTTTTCGGACACCTTAAAATAATGCCAGACCGGGGAAGCCATTTTGGCGAGCTTGTTTTGCCGCGTGCAGAGAAAAGTGTCATGTATTTTACGTCATGCGATCGGCCCTCGCGATCGGCATGTTTAGAGAGCACCGATCGATCGGTAGAGAGTGAGTATCGGCAGATCTCGATCGGTGACCGATCGATCGGAGCATCCCTAATTATTGCCCATTCAAATATATATGAAAGGACATATTATGCAAATTTCCAGGTGTATATCAGTATGTAGTGTCTCTACATGTCTCCGTGCTTTAATGTTCAAAAAGCTCTTTATTTCTCTCATACTGCCCGTGCTGCAGCACCTATTTTCACCCTCTGTCTGAAACCAGAGCCCAGTCTGCTCTGATTGGTTAGCTGGCCGGCTCTGTTGTGATTGGACAACCACTTAGAGATGTCCAGCCCTAGCCTATGACGCACAATGTGTAGGAGCGCTAGCCTATAGAAGAAATTAGTATTACATAGTGACGAAAACTAAGGGGTCCAAATTGGAATGCTGCTGGATATCTTAAACTATAATCAGGGCCGTCCCTGGCCAACTGGAGGCCCCACGCAAAGTTATATGATGAGGCCCTCTGTTTCGCGAGCTTCGACGGGGGGACGGGGGTTAGGGTGCTAGTGGAGCCTCGCAGCGGCGATACCACACTAATTGCTCCGCATAAGCGCATAGGTGCGCCGCATTTGCGGCTCAGTTGCGGCTCCTCCCGCAAGATGAGGCACCCTCCGCGAGGGGAGGCCCCCTCCGCAAGGTGAGGCCCCACGCAGTCTGCATGATCGGCCTGTAGGGAGGGACGGCCCTGACTATAATTATATCTAATATCTAATATAATTTATATATATTTTGTATAAGCTATTAGTGTGAATCTGTAAAGTAGATAATGAAGTAGAGTAAAACAGGTTTGAACTGTTGAAATGTAGTGGAGTTGAACTGAACTATAATGGAAATACTCAGGTAAAGTACCTCAAACTGAAACTCAATACTTGAGTAAATGTACTCCGTTCCACCTCTACAGTATAACAGATTGTCAGTAAAGTCTTACACACATTTTTAAGGCTGTTCTACTCCACCTCCATGAATCCCCCCTCCACATGTCACTTATTAGAGGCAGCAGTCAAGCCATTACACATCTCAATTCACACAGAAAGCTCGGCCAGATTGCAGACCTGGAGGGGGGCTGGGAAAGCAGAACAGTGAGCCAAAGACACCGACAAGAAAGAGGTTGTGATTCGTGAAAAAAGAGTCCCTACACCAGCGCTCATAATTAGCTCAGTGTCAGTTCAAATAACCAGACAAAGAGTCTGTTTTAAAGAGTGTTAGGTCAACATATTAGCATAGAAAGCTGGAGGGGGGCACCATGTTGTTTTATTACAGGTATTGATAGCAGCGGCAACAGTTACAGTTTTTAGGGGGAAAGCGGTGCTGTGGGGGCGGGCGGGGAAAGTGGAGAGCAGGCAGGGGGGGCTGTGGTATGTGAGGAATGCAGCTAAGGCAAACAGAAAGCCCCACACTCCTCCTGTGTCTAATGAAATCAATGCTTCCAGCTTTTCCGGTGCAAGGGGCAAATCATACAGAGAGGCTTAATCAACAGATGAGATTGGTTGTGAGAGATTTGTTTCCTTCTTCACAGTGAACAGCAGGATTGCATTTGAACCTGAACTGGAGCGAGCTGAGAAAAAAAGAATTCGGCCTACTTACTCGTCCAGCCAGAATGTCCTGCTAACAATGAATGTGAAAAGAGAGGGTAAACACGGGCAGGGTCAGCAGAGAAACATGCAGCAGATTTACACCCACACAAAGAACATCATTTAGGGACAGACAGGTGGTGGATGATGTTTGTTTGCTTACTCCTGCAAGACAAACAGTCACAGTCACACAGGTCCTCAACCATAGAAACATTTATAAATATTTTAAATAATGCATGATTATTAAAGCTCACTTAGTGTTTCTAAGTAGTACTGTTTCATTGTTGAGGTAAAGACAACCAGATCCTTTCCCATTTACCTCAGAGAGGCCAATACAGGACACACTGCTTTGTTTTCAAATAATTGATCTACTTTTTCATATAGTGAGCAACATGGCTAAACCCCGCAAGTCGGGCTAACATTAATTTCTATTGCAAGAATCCCAGAATAGTGCTCAGTGAGATGATATAGGCATAATAAACCATTGTTAGTACAATAAGGGCCCTATTCTGCTCATTTTAAGGTGCATTATTGTATTGTCTTCCTCTCCTGGACATGTCTCCATGCTTTAATGATCAAAAAGCTCTTTATTTTTCTCATACTGCCTGTGCTGCAGCACCTCTTTTCACCCTCTGTCTGAAACCAGAGCCCAGTCTGCTCTGATTGGTTAGCTGGCCAGCGGTCAACCGCTTAGAGAAGTCCCACCCCTTAGCCTATCATTTACAATGTGTTGGAGCGCTAGCCAATAGAAGCGTGAGTGATGCATGGTGTTGTCACTATGTTACTGAACTAAACAAAGGAGTCCGATGGAGGCAGGTTGGGGTGAGTGAGAGATTTTAGCATTTGCAGACCATTTACATGCACCAAAACCTATATAACACACTACAGGAAAGGGAAAACCCCCAAAACAATAATAGGGCCCTATTAAATATGTTTTTAGAGTGAGGGTAAAGGAGGTTTGTTAATGTCTTGGGTAATATGCTATCTGCTTCATAACGTCATCATTATGAGTAATACAGTCCAATGAAATGTTGTTAGTTGTTCGAACACTCAAAGACACATCATATATTATGTTTTAAGCACAATGGAAACTTTAAACTTCAGTCTAAGTTTTAACTGAAAGTAATTCCTGGTTTTCAAATTTTTCTTTCGAGCAGTGATCACATCAGTCATGCGTTTTTACACACACACACACACACACACACACACACACACACACACACACACACACACTCTCGCCCCGCCCTCTCTGACCTCATCATGCCGATCACTGCTCTCCTCCTCCGGCTCTCAGTCTGGCGCTCTCCGCTCTCCTCACCGCGCAGCTTTTCTAATTCCTCCTCCTCAAAAAAAAAGTGTGTCCGGACCAAAAAACTGCAACATTCCTGAGGACTACTTTTTAAACTGCTGGTGAACGTATCATTCCTACAGAGCAGAAGAGACACTTTGGACCAACACCTGGGCAGCGTTTACTTCCTGGTTATATAACTTTTTTCTTTGCACTTGAACGACTCCTTTACATTCCAAAGACTTTGGACCAACATTTTTGTCTTTTTTTTCAGAGTTCTTAGTGTTTGACTCTAACTAGACCAAATAAGCAGGTCACTGTCGCGACTTTTTTTATATTGCACAACCCAGAAATAGTCTTAACTGCGTTTTTTCCCCTTTACGCGTAGTGTTAAATTAAGTAACCAAACAGGCAATAATGGCAGGTTTGAACTCTCTGGATGCTGTGAAGAGGAAGATTCAGAGTTTGCAGCAGCAGGCCGACGATGCAGAGGACCGGGCTCAGGTCATACAGAGAGAGCTGGACAGTGAACGCGAACTCCGGGGGAAAGTGAGACAAATACTTTTTTAAACCTCTTTTCCCTGGGTCTTAAAACCCCAGTTTCTCTCTATTATCACCTGTCAGTCTTATACAATGGTTTCAACTTCTCTATATTCACTGCTCAGGCTGTAAAAAAGACTAAAAAGTTCATGTCATTGATTCATTCGCGGGCGTGATTGTGCCACAATGCAAGGCGTTGGTCTGCGCTGAAAAAAAGTTTGGATTCCTGCAGGTCTGTTGCGCATGCGCAGTGGTGTCTGATTCACAGGCCGCTGTACTGTGAATGGTGGACCACGTAGACAGCATTGGAGCTATTGTGCAATTGAATTAATTAGACTCACCGGATTACTTCTTATGAATACATTATGTTCTTATTTAATTGTATTATACTTTAAACTACTTATTAATGAGGTTTTAGAAGCTTTTAAGAGCTGGAAACACTTAGATTAAGGGGATAATGTTGTGACCCTTTGCTCAGAAGCACTTCAGCAGAGGGGTTGTGTGCCAGCAGCTGCCTGGGTAAATGCCCAACCACCATCCTGTCTCCACCAATGAAAGGAAAATAAAAGGCATATACTTAAAAGTATGCCTACTCTGTTATTAAGGATTCAAAGGAATAGCCTGGAAATTGGGCAATTTTTAGCTAGAGCTGAAGCTATTACTTGCTTAATCGATCAACAGAAAGTGAATCAACAATTTCAAACTTTTAGGGAGTTTCTTTAAGCCATAATGTCATAGAAATACTGTTCTCAGCTTCCCAGATGTTAATATGTTCCAGTTTTTTTACACCTCCATGAAAATCAACTTGACATTATTTGGTTTTAGACTGTTGATCAAACAAAACAAGATAATTGAAGATGTCACTTTTGGCTATAGGAACTTGGAAAGTACATTTGTTTGCTATTGACTGACATTATGTAGATCAAACTTATTCTGTAGATAAATCAATTAGATCTTTAACACATTTGCTACTTTTAATAATCTTTAAAGTCATTTTAATGCCAAAATGGCAGAGAATGCTGTTTTAAGCCTCTCAAATATGGAGATTTCTTAATGTTACGCTTTATTTCATACTTAAGAGACTCTCTTTGGGATTTGAATTGACGAACAAGACATTTTTAGGCATTACATTGATCTTTGAGTGACTACAAAGGACATTTTTCACTATTTTCTCACATTTGTTTGACCAGAAAAATATTTGACAGATTAATTTATAATGAAAATAGCGTTGTAGACCCACTTCCATGCGTTTTGGATTCAACAGTACAGTAGCAGAAGCAGTAGAACAATTCAGGTTGTAGTTAGCACACAAAAATGTGGTTTCTCGACACGGGGATGTTTTGAAAATGACTCATACAGTACTTATTCACCCATGTCTGTCACCTGCCTCTCTCTTGACTCAGCCCACTTCCGAGGATTGTAGCCACACACAGAAAAGGTGTGGAGTTTCAATTGGAGAAAAAAAATGCTTAGCAGCACAGTTAGGTAACAGTCTTGACTTGTTTCATGTGCTGCTTTATGGCATTCGGAGCCATATCCTTTTGCATAGGAGCCGGTTAATGACAGGACAAGAGGAGAGATTGAAGGAGAGTGGGAGGGGAAGGTGTGGCTGTAAAGATATGGAGCTGAGATGATGAAAGGAGCTGGTGTGCTGTAGGATTTACCCCTTTTGTTACAGACTGCCTATTAGGTAACATGGTCATTTGACAATAGGGCGTTTGGTCATCTTGTGGGTAATGGTTCTATATATGAACCTATATATACACATCAGTGACGGCAGTAATCATTATTTATAGTAATTACAGTGTTTAAATTCAAGGGCATAGTTTTCTTATGGTCAATTCATGTTGGGACCTACCTTAACTCTATCATTAGGCGCATTCACACTGCAGTACTTTTCCCTCAAAGGTTCATGAGAACTTAGTTCATGAGAACTCTTTAGTTCTGATTAACTAAGTACAGATCGCGTTCACACCGGAATAAGTTCCCGGGGAAGGCAAATGAGCCGCTGACGTCACTTCTTCTTCTTCTGCTTTGGGTTTACTGGCAGGCCGCAAACAACTTCACGGCGTATAATGCCACCCGAAGTCCCCGGAGTTGGGGACTGGCTTCAGTAGAAGCTGCTGGGACTCCCAGCAGCTTCTACTGAAGCCTTCCGAGTAAATCGCCAGAACGCCGACACCTCCTCATCTCCACCGCTCCCATGTTTTCTTTTGTGTTGCCATAAGTTAGTCTCTCTGCGTTTGTGCGCTGGGCTAATGCTAATGCTAATAATGCTAATGCGAGGATAATAAAATGGCGGCTTCACAAAACTTTTTCGGAGTTTTACGGGGCGTGGTTTGCAATCCGCCCAGCCAATCAGAAATAGGAACCTTTTTCTCCCACGAAAGTACCTGCTCTGTAGCAGGGACGGAAAAGGGGGTAAAAGGTTCTCATTAACTCATTTTAGTTCCGACTCTTTTTGGTGTGAACGCGACATTTCGGAACTAAAGTGGGAAAAGTACTGCGGTGTGAACGCGGCTATTAAGTATTGGGATGTTGTCTTTGTTTGGTAGATGCTTTCTCAAGGGTTGGTTTTATTGGTCTTTTTGGTTTTAATGAACCAAAATGTCTTTATTTGATTCATGCTGACGACCTTCTTGCATCAAACTTAAGCACACATCTCTGGTAACACATGTTTTAAAGCTGTCCTTTTGCATTATTATTTGTGTCAATTCAATCAACTTATTGCTTAGTTGGCAACGGAGGAGCCAGCTGGTTTTCACACATTGAATGTCTTGTAAATGTTTGTTTTGTTTAGCGAAATCTTCAACTTGCGGGACTACTTCTAAATGGAAAGCATAGTAAATGTGAATAATAAACAGATTTCTGGTAGTGCATTTTAACATTTCATCTTTTGGGATAGAGAGGCTGTCATCTACTATCAATTTCTGATGTAAAATTAGGCTTTTATGTGTTTCCAACCAAATGCAAGAGTGATATACTGCTAAAGAGCCAGATGTGGTGACAAGAACACTTTTTATAAGGACGACTTGACGATTCAGATGTGGATTTTTAGAGATATTACGGTAACTGTAAACACTTAACACCGTAATAAATGTTTATGAGCAGATATAAAGACACTTTTACCATAAATCCACAGTTCATATCGCCTAGTTACAGCTGTGTTGAATATATTAGTTCCAGTAATTGAATGAATGTGTTGACAAATAGATAAATTAACACTTAGATAGCGCCCATATCAGCTACTACGTTAGAGTATGTGTAAAACAACTTGTTTACAATGCTTGTAAATAAATAGGAGGGTAGTAAGACTTTGTATTTTGGAAAAAGTGTTTCCATTTCAGCCTTAAAGTGTAAAAGCAGGTTCAGCTTTCACACTTCTCACTCCATTCAAAGTGAAACAGAGCGTTTGTGTGGCGAGGCTGCTGTGGTCCCAGATGTGAATAATTAGGGCAACCTGCAGTTATTCCTTGGCACAAAAACCCTTTTCATCAGAGCACAGGGAGATCAAAACACGCTCGCTGAGTGTTAAGGTAATGAATCATTGTTTGAAAATCTGGAGGCAAGGAAGAAAAAAACGACTTGGCCACATATCATACTGAAGAATAAAAGAAATGTAATTGCCTCGTGTTATTTCATCGTGGTTTTTTGACGCCTCTGGAGACGTTACTCAATAATGCTTTAAGGCTCTGTCAGATTACAGAAGAGACATTGTGTGAAAACGCTCTTTTGACCTGCTTAGATGTGTTTTATTTACGGATGTTAATCTCAATGAACTGTTCATTCTTCATAGTGTTTACAGCAGCTGCTTGTTTGAGTTGAAGGTCAGACTGAAGACGAAGATTTGTTCTTCATTCATGACCCTGAGAGCTGTGTGAGCAACACAGATAAACTAGACTGGCTGCTTTTTATATCATGGAAGCAAATGTGTGAAGGTTGATATTGTTATTGACACATTTCATTATGTATTCAGGGTTCCCATACCTTCTTAAACATCAAATGTACAGACCTTTCATGGACTTTTCAGACCAATTTTTACAAAAATGTATAAATTCAGGCATTTTCAATTCCCCAAGTCTATGAATTTATATTTTGAAGTCCTTCATTTTCTCCTCATCATTCACAAACTCTCATGCATTTAAAGGACCTGTCAGAACCATGTTTTTTATACTGAGATAAAATAATGACGTGGCTAATTTCAGAACAGTCAATTGTATTTCCCGTCACTTCTTGCCATAAAGTTTAAACTCACCAAAATCTAAAGACAGATAAAAGTGGAAGTGGGACTCCAAATCCTATTATTACCACCATATATATATATATATATACACACACACACACACACACACACACACACACACACACACACACACACACACACACACACACACACACACACACACACACACACCCAGGCTGCCCCTCCCAGGATGTCGTCTGCCGACTCTGGCCCAGCACTTCCTGTGTTTCTACTCCCAACACTTCCTGTCCCTGAGCTCCAGCCCTGATCAACAGGAAGATTAGTGTGTGTGTGTGTGTGTGTGGACCAAGAGTACATGGATTCCAGTTAGTGGCACACAATTTCCGTACAAGTTTAATACTAAAACCCATCTTAAAGCCCTGTAACCTACTGATTTCAAACCATACCTAATTATATGTCGTTTTTTATTTTAATATCTACTGTTACGTAATGGCATGAACATTGGATTTTCTAGATATGCATTACAACAGTTCTCATTTAATAATTAGGGCTGCAACATACAGTGATTTCTTTAATTGATTATTCTGCTAATTGTTTTCTAGATGAATCAATAAATAGTTTATTAAAATAAAAAGTCCAAGGTGATTTCTTTAAATGGCTTGTTTCATACCCCCCAAAAACCAAAGATATTGACTTGAATATGTTATAAAATAAAGCTTAAAATCTCCATATTTAATGGACTGAAATCTTGAATTTTCTGACATTTTTGGATGGAAAATGACTTTGCAGTGAGTTGATTTTCCAA